AAGTTTAGCGTTGGAACGAAAAATGGAATGCATGAGAAATGAGGAGGAGAAGGATTGTGTGCGAGAGAATTTCGGATCGTTGGGCAGTCAGATGGCTGTTGATGATAAAAAACGAATACTGGAGCTGGAATTGGAAAATAGGAAATTGAGAACGAAACTCGAGAATGCTAAGTAAAATTTTCCTCAACTGAGCTTTTAGTCAAGAGATTTCTCAATCGTTAATATTTTCTCACTGATAAGTTTAAGTATATTCGAGTTTTTATACTGAAAATTTTGTATTGCAAAACTTCAACATGGAAAATTGAATGCATAAATTGTTGGACAAAATTTTATTATTTTATTCACTCACTTATCATCCATTTAAAATTTTACATGAAATAAAATTTTTGTCATTCTACATAAAATTTTACATGAAATTTTATTTTTTTACATGAAATAACATTTAGAATTTTACATGAAATAAATTAATGATAGCCGAAAAATTTTTGCTAAATTAAAAAGTAAATGATTTTTAATTGGAAGCTTTTTAATTAAATCTCATTTAACAAATTAAAATAATTTCCAAAAATTTTTACTTTTAGTAATTGTGAAGAAATGGGTGAAATTCATGCCAAATTATTGCGAACTGAAATAGAACTGTCAGAGAAGAAGGAAGAATGCGGTGTGTTAGATCAACAAGTTCAAGAGTTTCAAATCACTTTATCACAAGTTACTTCACAATATCAGAAGGTATTCTTTCTGCTATTCCTACATCTTAAATTGATAACAAACAGAATGATAAACTTTTATCAGAAATAAATCGTTTTCCATTAAATGTCGTGAAAGAGTGGTTAAATTTTGAATTTTACAAAATTAAACATTATGAAATAAATATTTATGTTGCAAATTTATAGTAGAAGACATAAAATTAAAGTTATTTGCATCATTTTTGTAACATTACACTAATTGTTAGCATTTAATGTATACAGTCATTTCATATTTTTTATTTAAATTTTTTCAAGAAATTTTATAGTAGTTGAATTGTCATACCGTTTTTGAGATGCTTTAATTAATATTTTCAATTTTTTTTAATGGAAGTAAAAAAAATGCAAGAAATTTGCAGACTTGCTCTCTGTGCAATACATTGGTAATGGAACGAGATTTGGCGCAACAGAATTTGCAGGAGGCAAGAAAGAAATTTTCCGATTTTCAAAATGAGCAAAAAAGTGATCTTACTGAGACGGTATTGAAATCAGTGAATTTTTTTCTTTGCAGATTTTTTGAATTCAGAAATTTTAATTTTAACTGGAAAAGTTGAAAATAATGCGAATTTCTGCATTCATCTTTCTTTTTCCCATCTAAATTAATTGTAATGAGTCAACAAAAATTTTAATACTGATAGGAACAAGATATTTCAGATTTGGTATTTGAGAAATAATTTTTATAGATTTCGGAGTTGCAAGAAACATTGAAAGCTAAAGAAGAGGAAATCAATTGCTTACGAAAGGTGAAAATTCAGACAGATGAGGAGGTCAAGAAGGCAATCGAAAATGAACAAATATCAGCAATTAATATGGAAAAACTGAGGGATGAATTGAAAGAGATGGAACGAATTGTGCATAATTTGGAGAAACAAAAGAAATTATTGGAAAATGAACGGAACGCTCAAAAAGTTTGTATGCTTCTCACATTTGCAAAAATTATCAATTTTCATTATCTTATTTCTTGAATAATTCATTTGTTATTCTTAGATTTATATTAGTGATTGTAATATTTGTAATGAATTAAAATATAAATAATAATAGTAATAATATCGATAATTCAAAATATAATAGAAAATTAATTGATGTTTTATCAAACTTTTGAGCTTGTAAAATGAGCAATAGTTAAGTTATCTATGAATTTTCATGCAGCAATCTATTCTGATGCTTCTGAGGGTTAGCCATTTTCCTCAGTTAGATGATATTTTTATTAAGCATCTATTTGTTCCTTTTTAATTTATAATCTTAAACTTCAACTTTCTTGTCTTCACATAGCATTCTTTGATGTATTTCTTTTGAAGGGTTGAATTTAATTTTGTAAGAGAATCTTAAATTTAGGAGCTGAACGAACGACTTGAAGGATGCATTGAAGAGAATAAATTGAAAGTGATAAATATGGAAAATATTCAGAAAAAGCTGGAAACCTGCGAACGAGCAACAATGGAAAGTCGAAGTCGAGTAAATGAATTAGAAAGTGAAAATCGGCAGCTCAATCAGCAGGTGCTCTTTTTTTTTAATTGTTATTTGGTAGTTTTAAATTCATTTGAGATGCCTTCTTTGATGGAAATTTGAAATTTCAACTTAAAATTAACTGAAAGGTTTTTTAATTGATTCGTTTAGCTGATCCTTTTTTATTTCTCATAAGATAATCCCATTATTATTACATTCGAGATTTCTAAAGAAGCCATTGAAATTCGAAATTCATTCTAAAAGTTTGAACTTCCTTTTTTATGACTTATTTATTTAAATTTGCTCGATATTAGATAACTAATGTGATTGAAATTTTGCATTCGCTATTTTATTTGTTTCATAATGCTTGCAATAAGTCTAATTGATGCTGTTAAAGATGATGTCGCAATTTAATTCTAAAATTAAGTGAAATTCACAAAATTATATTTGATATGTTCATTGAGTTAGAGATATGAAATTAAGTGAAATTTTGTTTACAGCTTGAATTGGAGCTCAAAAAAATGGATCGTTTGCGAGAAGATTTTGTAGCTGTGAAATCACGATGTAGCGATTTGATATCACGATTACGTTCAATCTGCGTATCAATTCAACTGAACGGTGGTAAATGTGAGATGCAAATGATGCAGTCCATTGATAATGATTGTGATGGTGATGATGACGAGAAGATTATCACAATTATTGATGATGTTATCATGAAAGCACTTACAACTGCAAGACGTGAAGCGGACGCATTAAGGTTACAGCAACACACACAAATCGCTGAATTAAATAATCTTAAAGAGGATATTGAACGATTAAGGTGTGTAATTTGAAGTGCTTTTATTAAAATTCAAAAATCATTATCAAACGTTAATTATAGAATATTTAAAAAGTTATTGAATGATACTACGATTTAAAATCATCGTAACTTTTTTACATTTAAGTTATACAAAGTTCTGTTCTGCTAACGGATATAGATAGTTTACTTAGGCTTACTGTAAAATATTGAAATAAATTTCATTTTCTTAATTCTTTGATATTTTTCTTTTTCCTAGTAAAAATATTTCTGTCAATAATTTAAATATGAATATTTATAAATAGCAGGTTTATGATAGATTTAGAATTGTTAAAATTAATAATATTTTTACTTTTTGTAAAATCTTCTCTAATCTATGCCTTTACTTTGACCTTTTTCCTTTTTCAATATTTTGAATACTTTTAAAGAGTATGAAAGATAAACATTTAAGATATTCTATTCTTCCAGTTCATATCTGTTGATTAAAAAGCTTTGTGAAAATTTAACCATTGTAATATCATTCAATAATCAGTTCACTTATTCCTTCCTAACCAAATAATATTTAATATTCTGTTTTAAATTGA